CAAACTTCTGCACAGTAAACTCGTGATTTGTTTGTTGGGTCCTGACCTCAAACGGTGGTTGTGATTGTTTTATGGTGTTGAGTAACCTTTAGAGACTTTTATACACCTTGCTTGTATATTGGGAAAAAAACTGGGTTCATTGTTTAGTATCGATTTAATATATACGTTTAATTCATAGTTATTCTCTAGTGTGTTTTCCTAATAAAACATCTTTTAATTCTATTTAAATTAAGAGATTGTAATACGCTCTTTTTGATGTTTACGTGGTATACGTACCTCTTAGATTTATTACATTCATAAGCATACAAACCTGTCAGTCTACTCATATAATTGGCTATTTTACCACTATTTATTTAGGTTTTAAACCTAAAAGCTTTCAATCCTCTCGCAAAAACAGACAAAGGGATTTAGATGAAAAGTTTGCTCAACATCCAGAGGATTTTATGGATGATGAAGTAAGATTTACTTAGTACTGAGTCCTATGAATTTGAATTAATTTAATATGACCCTCTACTTAGGAAAAATCCTAATGGAAACAGATATAGATTTTTCGAAAGCTGAGGTTAATTGGTAATATTTGTCTTTGGAGTAAATCAGTCACAGTACATTTCTGTTGTGATCGGTTCTACATATTTATTTATTTATATAAACATGTAAACAGTAGTACAAAAGAAACCTGAATATTTATGCACCACGAAGGTCATTGAATTTGTGTGTTGGCTGGAATATTGCTCATGTGCCAAACCGAAACGGTTGATTCTGTTTAACCTAGAGGTCTAACTCACAAGGTGATGGGGCAATATTAAGAGATCTAGTCTCATGGTGGCCTGTGACTAACAATAGGTTCACATTCCATTTGTTCCTTCAAGATTCCATAGCTTATGTGTACCATTGGTTTGGGATCCCAGTTTTCCAAATGTTCTATATAGGTCCTCCGTAACTATCAATCTAGTTTAGCAGTCAGATATCTACGTGATTCTGATTAGTGACATTTACTACTTGCTGTAAGTAATTTAGTGATCCGCCTGGCACTAGTAAATCCAAAGCAATGCGTTCCATGTAAATACCTCGACTAAGTCGTCAAAACGAGCACACCTGACTAACACATCAAGGTACCAACTACTTTTGAGTTCAGGATAATTACCAATGTTGGTTTACATATTGAGGTAAAGCATCGTAGACAGTTCAATGCATAATGAATAACGTTTTTTTTAGCAAGTTTGTTTTGCAGGAGATGGGGTTGTAAACCTCATGCCAAACACCCCTTTATCCAGGCATGGGTCCGGCAATAACCCTAGAAGAGCTCAAGGCAGAATAACTACACATTATCTCTCCTTATAGTATTATTCATGAATTAATTTTTCCCTACTACCCGGATTAAATACATTAAAACAATAACTCCAAAGGGTGATATTTAGACCTAAATTGTTGTTACTTTAGTAGGGAAAACTAAATACTGAGGTGGTGCCAAGGGATATTGGCTCCACAGACTTAAAACCTCATCAACAAATTTACCTTTCACTGCTTAGTGGTATCACTAATACGTCAGTGATCAGATAACTTTATTTACCAATAACCACGTCTTCTAGTCATATTGTAGAACTGGGTATACTGTCAATATGTATACTTGTCTCTCCACGAGCATGTGAAAATTGACAGTACACCTGGATCCGATGAATAATTGTTCCAATGTACATGCATGTAGTTATTTAGTCAATTAATGTCACCCATTAATCAACTATAAGTTTATGTACTGATATATAAAACTGTACAATAGAAACGAATATTATATTGATGCACTGTACTGTAGTAAACCGTAGTTTTATCTAGTAATATGAAAATGTTTTTTAATCATCCGTTTTAGGATTTTGGTGAATTCGGCATTGCACCAAGACGTATTCGACCGACTCATGAATTTGATGACACTCATGTACGTGATACATTACAAATAGCATTAGGTGAACAATCTGTAATTCCTCAAGCTGGTTCACTTTTGAAAGGATTAATTGTGGCTACCAGGTGAGTTTTGCATGTTTCAATATCTTATCCTTCCATAGTGTTAATTGTGCAAAATGCAGTCGACAAATAGTTTTTTGAGCAATATCTACTATGTAATATGAAAAATTAATAGCTTTGAGTAACCCTAGATAACTATTTAAAATCTTTATCACTATTCGACTTTTAACTGGAGGTAGAGAGTTATAAGATGAAAAAGACAGGTTTCTGTTTCGTTTGTGAGTATGTCAAACGAATCATTGTATTTCTTCAGATTTTATTGCACCCTACCCATATTTCTCAAACCAAAGGGAACACTTACTTTAGTTGATTGAGAATCCGTATGGAAACGTCCCTACTCGAAAACTTTTGGTTGGTTTTACTGGGTTGGCTTTTGAGTAATACGAACAAAAACTATTCATTTCCCTCAATTTCATTCAATTATGTCATGTTTTAGAGAAAATTTTTTCTGTGCCTAACTTGAAAAATTGGTTTATCGTTCTAGACCTTTATTAGTTAGTAGTACACAAAAAATAGAGTTCTGTCGAATGGACACACAGAATTCTGAATTTTCTAAGTCTCTTTGTGATTATGTGAAAACATTATTGATGTGTTTATCGCCCAAACTATGGATTATTTGGGATTTGTAACCGTGAACGTTTAGTATAGCAAGAAGGAGTAAAGTGAACGTACGTTTCAATTGCCTTATTTGACAAATTAAGTATCTTATCAACTCCCATAGTCTGTAAACTGACAGGATCTCAGAATGATTACAGAAAGTCTGTCTCACTAACTGTTAAAACAGAATTTACTAAAAGATGAGGCCCCCAAGTGCCCTAGTATGACCCGACGATGGGGAGAGTCCATTCCCCTCTCGAAATATTTTTACACGGCCACAAGTATATAGCCGTTTACAGAAAAACCTTACTCACTGCTTCCTTGTTGGGGGTGTTGTTTGAGGAATTTAGGTGACGAAAATCGAATATCCTGCCCTCAAACCGGGTTGGTGAGCACTAATGATCCATGTAGGAGTTGAAAAACCCTGATCTTAAACCGATGGTACACGTAACTCATTGTTAGTCACAGGCCATCATGAGATTGCATCTTTCAACGTTGCTCTAACACCTTGTGAGTTAAACCTCTAGGTTAAAGACTTGGGGGCTGGTCATCTAAGAAAACCATCTGTTTGGGCACCCGTACAATATTTCAAGCCACACACAAATTCAATGACTTTTGTGGTGCATAAATTGTTGAGTTTCTTTTGTACCAATGTTTATGTATTTAAATGAATAAAAGGGGAGGACGCTGTGAAGCACCTTTGGTTGCTGGATTCTTTCCAGTGTCGTTAAATAATCATACAGATATGGTGCAACCCTGTTATTAGGCGTAGAAATGTGTTGATTAATTGAAAAGGTCACGATCACTGACAGTTTTTGATGACTGATAGTTGTATCACACATCTCCAGTTAGTATTGTTCCGAAAAGCTGTTGTCTAGTTTATGTGTTAGTTTGTAAGAAGCTAAAAGCACTCAGTGAAGCCATCAACTATTCACCATAAAATTTGCTAGATGAATCGATTTCCCTAGTTAAAGTTTTCAGTTTGATTTATATTGCAATTTAATAACATCGAATTATAGCTTATAATCAATCACTGTGACTTGAATACATGTACTTTTGTATTTATCACTCCATATTTGTTTCTTTTCTACTCACGTCTCTTATTCACTTTGAAATCCTTTGCTGTATGTTTTGTTTTTTCATCCGAATACTAACATGTATTATTTCATACGAGATTCTTTTTAGTTTTCATCCTTCTATCTGTCTATCTAGGACATCAAACCCCCCACCTTAACTAATTGAGTTCCAATGAAAACTGTTGACCTCATATATTATGGCTAATGATCCAAATATTACTGATATTTTTAAAAAAAACTGTCAACTTTGTTTAGTTAACCTCCTTGTTTTTTGTATTTGTTTAACCGTAGGGGAACATTGGCTGAAAGGTTATTGCGGCGTCTTGGATGGAAGAATGCTAATTCAATTATACTGAATGATGATAGTGTAGAAGATGCGGATCAAAATAAATTTCCAAACGAAGCAGAATCTATCACAGGCACTGATGAAAGTTTTAGCGAATCGAAAAATTCAAGTAAGATGTAATATATTTGTAGAACTTTTATTTTGTGGTCTTAACCGCTATCAACTAAGTTGCAATATATGAAGTTAAGGACAAAATATTCTCCTAGAATCGTTAGATGTGTAGAGTTAATTAGTTCGAGATTCAGTACACTCATGAATTGCCATTAATTAGATATGCTCGGACTTTTGATAAAATTTAAGTTCTTTTCAGTTGGAATTCCTCAGATGCATCATTTTCTATCAGAGGTAATTTCTTACTCTTAAGGAACTAGTCCCAACTGTATCTGCTTCTTTGATTTGGCGGTCGTGATGACTTAGCTGAGTTATATTGACTGTAACCCATGTTCCTTTTGATCCTACATTGTCAGGAAGATTGGTTGTAGGACGATGCAACTAAAGGCAGCAACTTAAGTTCTCCAGAACGCGCTGTTTGACTAAACGTGATAGTATGAACTTGGAAAGATGGTGCAAACTTGCTCTTATCTCTTCGTTGTCTGCCTGCGCTCCCGCTAATTGCAACTAGGGCATAGTTAAAGGTGAATTTTATGGGAAACTTTCCAACCTCATTCAAAAAGCTAAACTCTGATGTCGTAATAATGTCGTATAGTTTTGATGCCCAAGTAGGTGGACTAAACCAAACTGAAAGACAGTTAAGTGAATTTTACAGCGTCGCGGCTGAGCGAAAACAGTCTGCTGAAACTCTGCTCAGATAGCCGTCTGTTTCTAGCATGCACCAATTTTAAGCCAAAGGAAAAACATCATCTTGGCAACCCCCACAATCGACTCGACGATGAACTTACATAGACCACATAGCGTTAAGCCATTGTCGGAGAGGCTCAATTCGAAATTGCTGCTTATTGTAGATCACAAGTTTAGACTCAGATCATGCTCCAGTACAAGCACATATTTATCTGCACCCTACTGGACCTTTAAAAGCCGCAACAAGAAAACCCCTTGAAGTTCAATTTAATGATGAAAAAGTGAAGAACATGTTTCAGGAACGACTAAACAAAGAGTGAATAAACCGAAGAAGTGATATCCACCATGAGGTAGCTCGGCATGATTACCAAAAAGCTGTGGAAATAGAAATCATACCTATCAGTAAAAAGGACCAAAAAAATCAGTAAGGTATATGCAGTAAAAGGATACGCACACATGCTCAAATGAAAACGATCATGGTTTCAAGTGAATAGTCAACAAGATCAAAATACATGTGGATAATGAACCGGGAAGTATAGAGTAATTAGTTTTTCCAAAAGCTAGTGTAAGCTATGAGGGCTTGTTGACCTAGTAACACAGACTGCAGGCTGATCGATAAATGGGGTAGTAAATGTTCATCAACTGAGATGGTTGAGACATGTATTACGTATGCCCATATCTCACCAGAGGGCTGATGTTGTCTGATATAGGAGTCGAATGGAAGAAAGCTAGGAGTGACCAAACCAAAACATGGCACAAATCCACAAAGTCATTGACAAGTGAACTGAGCCATGTAAGTTCGTGTAGACTTCCTGGCTTGAATTGGATGGATCATCGTAACCAGTGGTTAGAGATAGAATGACATTACGCTAAACTGTTTTCAATGAGACATTGCATCCATTCTTTGTCTTGTCTCCAAATTGCGAGTTTCTGAATTCCTGATAACTTCTTATTCATTTATTTATTTCACTGACTGTCATTTTTGTGAATGGTATCCTCGTTGCTTACTGCTGATACAGTTATTAGTTGTGCTACTCTGGGATTCGACCTAACAATTACATCTTACTGTACCAGTGTGGTATGATAACTTGAACTGATGTACACATCTACCAGGTTCTGCTTTGTGACTGAGTGAAGAAAGCATTTAACTTCAAAAGACTAAGGTTTAATGTTTTCCAAAATTTGCATGCGTTCTTTACATGCCTTGTATCTTACTTTTTTTTTATGAGATTTTGTTGAATAAAATGTAATTGTTTATGAATCCTCATCTCAATGATTGTTTGTTGGCAAAAACTGTGCGGTATTCATTCAGTTTGTATCATAATATTTTTCGTGTAGAGTATTGGATGTGACAATGAGAGTTTAATCATGCACATTATGATTGTATTGCTGGACGATGTAGATAAAAGTCAATGCTGATAGATATCGACAAATGGAGAACGTAGGTACACAATATCCTGCTTATTGTACCCAAGTATCCCATTTAAAAATATGACCTTCAATTGGCGATCTGGAGAGGACCATATTATTATTGTTTCAAATCTTTTGTGTCGTCTGTTTTCAATTAATACTATTGATGAATAATATGGTCAACAATTATCTTGGTGTCGTTCAAGAATTTGTAGTTTGAAACATTTCTACTAAGAATTTTTAAATATTGTTGAATTGTGTAAATAAACTTTGAAGCATGAATACTGTTTTTTCATATGGTGTTGGGTATATGCTGTTGCATTTCAGTTTAAGTCAAAGACTAAGCATATAAATTGATTCATTGTATTATCACCGATCACTAACCTGTATATACCACCATAATTATATAACATAAAGAAATAATCATTATTGATTTTTTCATATCAGGCTCTAAAATGTTCGCTAAAATTAGTTTTGTGGCTAAAACTAATACATTTGGTTTGGGCTACTCTCCATTGGATCCGGAAATTGCTATGGGTCGACGTAAAGCTGACTCAAGCAATGCTGAGAATATTTGGTCAAACAGACATCCAGAAGAATCTGTCAGTGCATTGTTACACAGACAACAGAAAATCCGCAGCGAAAATGAATTCGATCTTAAAAGTGGATTAAAACGTCGTGGTATAACCGGTAGGTAAGATGTTGTGGTGTAATGCACATATTTTTTTGTACATACTATGGATAATTGTCGTAATTGTTTCGGTATTCTCCTTATTTATACAGTAAATTAGTACGGTGAGATGTTTTCTATATGATGCGATAGATTGTTAATTGCTGCTGTTATTTGCTCAGTTACAGAAGTAATATTTAAGAAAACGGTAAAACAGTTGAAATCCTAAATTGCTATCAACTAATCCATTTGAAACATGTGCAATTTCAATACCTAGTGGTTGACTATTATTTGAACTTGATGTCAATGATTCAAATAGATTCAAATTTTATTGTAAGAGAATGAATTAAACATCAACAGTCCTAAAATCAGAAGAAATATATTTTAATTTATGCTAATTGTTTTTCTCATTTAATGGTTTTGTTTGACAGTTTCATCGTAATGTTAATTAGTTTAATCATTCATACTGATCCATATTCTATATCTTCATTTGTTTTAAATAATGAGTGATATTTCCAACAAAAATATTATAGATGACCAATGAGTTAACCGTTCTTGAGTAGTTATTAAATTTATCTTATCATGTGTATTTTTTTCTTTTGATACTCTTCTTTAGGGCATGCTTTTGGTGTTGGCGCTTTAGAAGAAGAAGATGCTGATGTGTACGAACAAGATCGTTTAGCAGAGTACGATTGGGAAATTGGGGATGGTGAATCAAATGATGACGAAGAAGAAGATGAAGAACAAGCTGAAATTGAAGCTGCAAGGCTTGGACGTTTGTCATCTACACTGACAAAAAAGTCAAAGAATAATTCTACTGAACGTACTAAAACTATTGACGGGTGGACTGCTCCTTCACAACATCGTAAGTATTATTATTGTACATGTCAGTCAAAGATGTATTCAATACGTCTTATATGTAAAGTCTATGAAGTTAAGCGTTGGTTACGTCAGCCATACAAATTTTTGAAAGATCTTGTCTTTTACAGCTAAACATGTAAACTACTTACGCGCAGTCTCTAACAATATATTTGTCAATCTTGTTAATTGGTTGTGAAGTAATTTTCTGTTTTAGATTTTACTATTTGATATAATAGTTGCCTAAGGTATATACATGAATTGCAATAAGTAATGGTGTAGAATATTTAACTAGGTGTTATACACTGTGCCCCGAATCCCCTGGAACGACTGAGGATACGGAGAGTCGTCTTTCCCTCTTATTGGGTTTCTAAAGTCTCCTTACAACTGATTGAAGCACGTCATTCAACGCTAAATAATCACAGGTTTGTTGATAAACATAGATTCTTATCTAGTGAAATTGTGCAAAGTTTGTGTAACGACTCTGACTCCTGGTGGTCGGAGTGTGCTGACGAATTAAAAGCAGCAACTGTATCTGGTAACTGTCTGAAGCTCTTTCGGCTCACTTGAAAGCAAGAAGTTTGATGTGAGTAAGACAGTCTGTGAGGCTGTTGGGATGAGGAACAGTTTAGCTATTTCACTGCTCTGGCAACATCATTCAAACTGTCCTGTCTTTCGTGACCAGCGTCAACGATCTGTTTAATGAAGCAGAAGTTTACGATAAACTTCAACTGTTGAAGCACCGCAAACCACTAGGCCCAGATGACTTACTTCTGGTCCTTTTTAAAGATTCTGAAAAGCTGACTCGGAGAATGAGTTGCTTACAACCGTTTGGCGATTAGAATGTGTTCGACATCGTGGAAATAAGTCAATAGTCTTCCTTATCTTTAAACAGGGTTAACGTCAGTTATGTAGCAACTATCAAAGAATAAATTTAATTTCGATTGCCTCCAAATTATTGTTTCCCGTCACACTCGGCAGATCGTTCGAAATCCGGAAAGAATAACTCGCGAGGAGCAGGCTAATGCTCATTCTGGTTGAGAATGTATCGGTCAAATTTCCACCCCCGCGCCAAATGTTAAAACATTGGCATACTTATTGCTGACCAGCAGTCGTTGTGTTTCTTGATATTAAAACCACCTTCCATTCGTTGGATAGTACCCTTCTCCGTGATTTCCTACTGAATAAGGGTCTACCTGAAGAGTTTATTAACACCCAGAAAGCGTAAAATACGAACATCTAAGGCAGAGTTAGGTCATACAACTACTTCTCCATTGTTTCATTCATGCAGTGCGGTTTGGCAGAGTTATCCAATTTTACAGTTCCTCTCTAACTTTTCCATCGATGATGTTCTGTATACAGCTCTGATGGTGGTGTGGATCTGTTACCTGAAAAAAGGCTTTCAACCTTGAGCATGCGGATGATATTGTCTTACTGTGTGATTATACTAAAACGATGCAGTCCTTACTTAATCAGTTGGCAATCAGAATCCATAGGTGTGGCACGTGCTTTGCATCTTCTAAGTACAAGGTACTTTTGCAAGATTTTCACCATTTTGTGCTTGCATTCACTCTTGGTAGTGACTGGTAGAAGTAGTCGAGAAGTTCTTGTACCTGAGTAGTTGTGTAAGTATTTTCGGTAGTATGAGTAATGTGATAAATTCATGTACAGTGAAAGCCAAATCATCCAATGTTTTTTTTAGTAGCGGGACTAGTTAGAAAAAGCGGATAAAAGTTATAAAACATGTATGATATGGTGTTTTGGTGGGAAAAAAAATCTGTATAGGACTGGCCTCTGTTAGTCCTTTACGACTCTTTAGTTGAGGTCCTGAATCGAATGAATTTTCTCTGATTGTATTTTTCTTAACTGAACTGCTTCTCATTATTATTACTATCATTATTGTTTTTGTTAGCATTATTACTATTATTACTTACTTACTTACTTACGCCTGTTACCCCCAATGGAGCATAGGCCGCTCACCAGTTTTCTCCAACCAACTCTGTCCTGGGCTTCCCTCTCCAGTTCTGTCCAATGTATGTTCATTGTTATCACATCTTTCTCTATTTCTTGGCGCAATGTATTCTTTGGCCTTCCTCTTTTCCTTTTGCCTTGAGGGTTCCATGTGAGGGCTTGTCTCGTGACGCAGTTAGGTGCTTTTCGTAGTGTGTGTCCTATCCACTTCCACCGCTTCTTCCTGATTTCCTCATCCACTGGAATCTGACTTGTTCTCTCCCACAGTTCGTTGTTGCTGATGGTGTCTGGCCAACGAATACGAAGTATTTTGCGTAGGCAGCTGTTAATAAACACTTGTATCTTCTGGATGATGGCTTTGGTAGTTCTCCAAGTTTCCGCTCCATACAGTAGAACAGTCTTCACATTTGTATTGAAAATCCTTATTTTGGTTTTGGTTGAAAGTTGTTTGGAGTTCCAGATATTTTTCAACTGTAGAAATGCAGCCCTTGCTTTGCCAATCCGTGCCCTCACATCTGTATCGGATCCACCTTGGTTGTCGATTATGCTGCCAAGATATGTAAAGGTGTTAACGTCATCCAAGGCATCTCCATCAAGAGTGATTTGATTGGTGCATGTTGTGTTGCATCGGAGAATTTTGGTTTTTCCTTTATGTATGTTGAGACGTACTGCTGCAGAGGCTACTGCTACACTGGTCGTCTTCTCTTGCATTTGTTGTTGCGTGTGCGATAGAAGAGCCAGATCATCTGCGAAGTCCAAATCGTCCAGTTGCGTCCTAACTCATATCCCTTTCTCTTTTTTTTCACAATCACGATGCATATATTTTCGGGTTACTTCAATCGTAACACATTTATGTGTTCAAATAAATAAATAATCAAACTGCTTATACGACTGTACTTCTCATCTGTCTAGTTCTTTATTTCGATAGGAACTAACAACATTTATCATTGATTCATAGCTTCACATGTTACTTAACTATCTATCCACTTAATAATGAATTTACACAGTACATATAAGTCGGCAGTTTTTACAAATATGGACCAAGTTATGTAAAAAAAAAGAATTTCAAACTCTTAATTTAAATTACTGTCATATTTTAATAGGTGCATCTCAAAAATTGAATAAATCATCGTCAGATGCTTTGCCTGGATTTTGTAGTGAATCAAGAAGTCATGACAAAGTGAAAATTCATTCAACTGAAGTGTCATTACCTCCAGGCTATATTCCGGTCTTTAATCCACGGTGCTTATTAGCTTGTGATAATAAACAAAGTATTTCATCTAGTGAATCGAATCATGTTCATACCAAACATGATGCTCTGTCACGAGCTCGTCTTCTCCAAGAAGGTAAGTTTTGATGTGATGCTCATATAAACATCAAATTTTGTTCTCATAAATTTTTTATTATATCTATTTACTTTACTTGTCATTTTTAGCATAGTGAGTAGGGATTACAAAGTCAACCAACACCTTGATTTCTCTTTAAAGTAACTTATTTAATATAATTTTTTCACGATTTGAATTAAGGAAAATTTTTTTAGTGTGTTTGATTTTTCTTGTGAAATTTTGAAACTTTCGGCTGGTTATGCACCTATTATATGTAGTGACGTAATCTATTTCATTTCATTGTGATTATTGACTCAAATTGCCTTAATTGGTTTAACATTTTCATTTAAATATATATGTATATATTAGAGTAAAGCAGCCTGATGACGATCTAATCGAAAACAATATTGTTCGCTTATATGTGTTATGCACCATTTCACGAAAGCCTTATAAAAGGATTCAAACAGAATAGGGAATTACCTAATTATTTCTAAATCTTTGACAAAATAATAAAAAAACAGGAATACTGGAAGGAACAAATTTTTTATTGAAGAACGGAAGTTTAAAATTTTACTAAATAAATACGAAATAATAACTTTTACGGGCGGATTTCAGTAATTTGATCACCTCTAACTATTATTGGCGATAAAAGCTTGAGATAGACTAAAGTATTTATTATTTCACACGATTCTCATGTCAACTTATCAATGCAGCAAAAGTTCTTTTCTTTCGTGGTTAAATTTTTTTTTAAGTCACATTGTTCAGTATATATCCTTTAAGATTACTCTCACCGTAAAAGGGCTTCCTGACCTTATTTTCTAACAAATTGTTTATTCGTTATGGTGATCCAGTTAGTCGATTATCCATTTTCGGTACGAGATTTTCAATATAATTTAACGCTATAATCAATATTTTTAGTGAAATGCATTTGAGAATGTGAAATGGTTTATGTAAGCTTGACTGAAATATGGTGCAAACAAGTGATCGAATGGTTTCTAGATGTTATTGTTGTTTGATGTTTTATACTACTAATAAGTAGTTCCAAGTGTTTCAAACAAATTTCTTCACACGAAAATAAAGATGTATGCAACTTTATTTTGTTATGTATTTTGAATGCGAATTTTTGGTTTAACTGATAGTACCTTTTGCTATTGACTCATTGATTCTTGTAACAAATTTTATCAGTTGTATTCAGACTAAAATGATAAAAAATCGATGCTTGAGATCATTGATCGTGAGCATAACGTTTCTCCTGTCAACAATTCGATGTCATTTATAAGTCACGCTTATTAAATATTCATAAGGAAATAAATTCAGTTTTATTGTTCGTGATAATATTGTAGCCAATTTGTATAATAAAACTAAATTCATGTTTTAGGAATTATCGACACCAGTTGTTGCAAGGCTACATGCTAAGTGATAGATACAAGTATCGCTAAGCTTACTGCAAGTGGATTGATTATTTATTTTGCCAAGATCGTCGCCCACATATTTCTGTCTGAATCAATATATATACGTTATGGCGTGCCTGAATTTAAATAACATTCAAGAAATGAATGTAAATAACACTACTCAGCTATCTACATTTAGGTAGAGGTGGTGGGGTTCGATTTCATAACCTATTAGTTGAAAACTAACTGCGTTAACCATTGAGCCACCACCCAACTATGGTATAAACATATCTACAGATATATATATCTATCTTATAAGTCCTAATTAAGGTTTTTACCCACTCTTAGTTTTTGCGCTCTGTTTAGCGCCTTCTTCAATTTTTTGGGAACCTCATATTAATAACTGATATTAAATGATAATCAATGAAAAGAATCATTATTCATTCTAATTACTTGTTAAATGTGTACAATCAAATTTAATAGGCAAATAAATCAATAACTAGTGCATTTGAACGAATATTATCCGTTTTTTTGCATTTGAGATACTCAACATTGAAAAGAAATGAATACATTGAAAAAAAAATATTATTCATAAAATTAGATACGATCTATTCCATATAAAGGTAACAAATATTATTTACTAGGTTAAGTAAAAAATATAAATGTACATAGTAATAATCATACAGTAATGTTAACAAAAGTAGTGATTTATTTCAATAATAATAATAATAATAATAATAATAATAATAATAATAAGGTCAGCTGAACACACTTTATAATAATAATGGTAAATAAATCTTTCAAAATTTTGCAAGAAACAGAATATTTGAAAGCAAAAAAAGTTGAATGTTATCGCAACAGTTGGGTATTTCATATATATATATGCTTTTTTCACTATGCATACTACTTTTTTGTTTTATCATCGTATGTAATCATTTATAAAAACATCTCGAATGTTGTAATATATTTTTAGTCGATATTTTATATCTTATATTTCTATCACTTTTTCATTCATGTTGGCAACTTTGTATATATATATATGTAGTCTTATTTCTAGTCTTCTTTCTTTATACTGAAAAAAATGCGAAAACATTAAGGCTAATACAGTCAAAAACCAATAATACAGTCCTGTTCGAATTATTGTTAACCTATTTGGTTTTATTTTGATTTTAGATTCAGTTTATGAAAAGTTAGATCCTATTCAACAACTTCGTTTAAAAGCTGCAGCAGCAGGACTTCCTGTTCCATCTCTAGTGTCCAAATCTTTGCCGAATGAACAACACATAGAACCATGTGAAAATGCCAATGAACTAGCCGTTCTTACTATGTCTAATAATCCAACTGTTGGTTTGTTGAAACTTTTCAAAACGGATAGTAATAAACAAGCACGATTTGAAGCTTATCAAGTGCTTGTTCGTCGAGGATTTTCGCGTATGTTATTTTTTATTTTCCGATACATTTTGTGGACTTATTATATATTACTTGTTATCCTATTTTAGCCGTTTGAGAAATCTGAAATCTTTTTTAGACGGATAGATTTTCTTCAATACAACATTTTATTGGTCAATATACTACTGATTTTATCAATTTAATAGTCTAAGAATAGTTTAAGTTTTGAGGTCTATTTGTGTTCATTTCATATAAAACGGTAATAAAATTTATAAAAACGATTCAAATATATTCCAATGTTTAATGAATTCGGACAATCGAAAATTTTAATTTCCACTAGAAGGTCATATATTTTTATAATTCGGAGGGTTCTAAATGTTTCCAGTGCCAGTTAATTTTCAGATAAATAGAGTAATTTCAGTTTCAGTCATATTTTTATTTATAGATTTTAAACTAAAGAACACATTTGCAAGGTACCACAGGTTCACTTCCATAGTAGTATGTAATACGCTTTTGGTTGATTTAAAATCCTAGAGCATGTATGTACTCATGATATCCACCTTCGCTGGATGAATTGTGCATATATATCAACTTGGTTTAAGCACTAAGCATCCCTTTCAGTTTTCTAACAGCACAACAGACAGACATATACAACGCAGAACTTCGTACATAAGTACGTCAGTTCAGGTTGCCATACCACGTCAGCACAGAGACGTAACTGTCAGTGATAGCGATAGTAGAATTATTAGCAGCAATGGAGAAAATTAGGGAGTGAAGATATAATTCGAAAAGTGAGATAAATTTAGAAGGAGAAAGATAGAGATGATGAGGAATTCAGAAGGTTAGAATTAGAGAGAACACAAAGAGTGGATGCACCTGAGCCATGTCGTTCAAGGTCTCTAACCATTGGTGACTTTCGTCTCGCGGACAGCACAACTATTCTATGGCAATGAGTAGAAAATTTTCGTAACATGTTATAAACATGCTGAACATTATCAGGTTGGAGAACAATTTCTCCTAGTTGATTTTACCAAATTATTAGCATTAATATTTTATCCTTTCCAAAATCTTGAATACATTTTTTTTTTAAAATACATAACTATGCACTGCCCATAAAGTGTGTCTCTAATCTAGGTCATTTTGATTTTCTCCATCATTTGCCATGTTGTTTTTTTTTCCTGTTTGTTTTCGAAAAATTACTAATACCACTAACAAAGTGTCGTTGTGAATCGGTACACTTCCAAATCGACCACAACATTATATGCTTCTCTTTATCTATTCTGTTCTGTTCTGTTGTTATACAACAATCTTTGTTTTTTTTTGAAAAAAAAAACTATGTATATACTACTAATAGAGATAGATATTTCAAAGTAAACTATTCTAAGCAATTTTACTGACCAATAATTTGTTGTTTTATTGGGGGTAAAAAACAAATTAGTAGAATGATTGTTGATCTGATTGTGTATGTATGACAAGACACACACACACACAATTTGTGTTGTAAGCATTATGTGATTAAATATGAATTATAAAATTAGTATTATAATTATAATTATGATTATTATTATTATTTTTCCAACCAATTTGATTATTATTTTTTCTCCTTTTTTTTTCTCTTGATGTGTATAAAATAAATAAAAATAAAAGTGGTAAATCTATGTATATGTAGTGAACTTTTTTTTCTCCTCTGTGCAGAGAAATTCAACTCCTTTATTCACATTGGGAAATGATGATAATGATTAATTTTAATTATTTATTAATAATAATAATAATAATAATAATTTTAGTATAATTATGATTAGTAATAGAAAAACACATTTTTAACCTTTTAAACATAATAGTTTTAACCTATTTATTTCAATGATTATAATAATTATTATTATTATTTATGGAGTGACTAGGAAAGTGTATAGTCAAATAATTTCTTACTTTCATCAATGATTTATTTAGGATACTTGAGTTTTGACTTTATTGATATGCTAATTATTGTATTATATTGTAGTATTGTAGAGTGTTCAACACATAAGTTCATCAATTGATGTTTGTGACATTTGTTTAGTAAACTAAATCCCATTTATAATTGATATTCTGGTGGCGAGGTGTTGTGATGATTTGTTTGATTTTCTAGTGGTATTGGTTACATCTTAACTTCAGTTTTAGGATGCTACTGAATGTGCCTTTCAGTGATTCATATCTACTGCATCGCTAGGGATTAAATCCAGGTTCTTTATGCCTCACAGTAACTGCTTAACATTCTCAACTTCAGTTAATGCACGAAACAGTCGGACAGTTATGCATTACCATTGAGGATAGATTTAATTGCAGACATATTTGAACTCATCGGGTCTCGGTTTCGAAACCTGAAAGTTCTAAGTTCAGTGTCTATTTTCTGTGCATACTCTTGAGTCATGCTAGTAGTCTAGTAGTGGTATATCCGTACTGAACACCATGTGGAAGTAATCAATCTTCCTTAAGCTATATTGAACAGGTTGTACCGCCTTCTTTTCTCCAGCATTGACTGTTTTCCATTGGCTTTATTACCTATGGTTTTATCCTACCTCAAGTATGTTTACTATGTGGAAACTGATTATAAATGTAGTATCGGAATCAGCAGACAGTTGCCTTACTAAATACTGTAGATTGGTATGTTTTTAGTGATACTCTAATAAAATTCTTTGCCAGTAAATTGTGTGATCCATTAAGGTGACAGCAGCTTATCTAATGCAAACTAATGGAACGACTATGGCATGACTAATTGTTTTCTGGTATCTAATTTCGAAATACAAGTGTTCTTGTAGGCGAAATCTACACTAGTTTTTCATAGTATATTTATTTCAATTTTTATATGCTAAGAGAATATTTTTTAGAGTTTTGAGATTATTTATTTCGAATTCTTACTAGTGTTGTCACACGGCAATTTTACATAAATTATGTGGAAAGATGGCGTCGTCCTATGATGGTTGAATCATGATAGCATGAACAGTACTAGGGGTAGTTGTGAAACTCTTGCTAATACAAACTAGTTGACAAAATTATCCGTGGAAAATTCTGAACTTTTGTCAGTGTGAATGTATTGCATTGTTTGAAGAGAAGCATGATAAAACTACACTCAGATTATTAATAATTGTTTGAATCGTGTAATATAGAAATAATTTATTAACTAGTTTTGAAAAAACTTTTATTCTATTGTCTTATCATATCCAATTTGTTATGTTTTATGTTCAATAAAATTTTAATTTATTTCTCCTCATCTATTCACTTTGTAGATGAAGATGCTTATCATCGTTGTTCAACTCTATTGGATTTAAATGATGAAGAGAAAATCCGTGAAGCTAATTCATTTCAAACTATTATTAAGATGAATCAAATGATAAATACCAATAATTCGTCACAAATCAATGTAAATAATAATAATAATGATAATGATAATACAATGATTTGTGAAGCGCCAACATTAACAACGACCAACACTACCACTACCATCACCACTCCGACAACTATTCCATCTTCTCATTCATCCGATCGATCATTATTATTACCATTATCAAATAAATTACCATTGCATAAACAACAATTAATTTCATCGAAATTAGCGTTACGATTTCGTTCTGCTGGTTGTATGGATATTAGTAAAGAATTAACGGAAGAAGAAGAGAAAGCTCAACGTGCACGTGTTGAAGTAGGATTCAATCCATTTTTTCATTTTCTTTTAAACTTCAAAATCGATTCATTTTTGCTGAGTGTAATGTTACATTTACTTAAAAAAAGAAGAATAGAATATCCATTTATCGTGATTGTTTAATTATATGAAAATAATAAATAGAGATTTTTCAATCAGAGAGTTATGGAGATTAGTGTTTGTTACACATTGAAATCATTAATCAATCAATCAATCATTGTTAGACCATCACTATTAGAAACCTGGAAGCACTGAAAGACGACCGTTTCGTCCTGGGATGGGACTCATCAGCAGTGAGCATCCCATCCACTTATCCTGCACCTCACAGGATAGAAATAATGTAGTGAAATGATCTCTTTTTTTAGGGAATTTTTCCTATTCTCAAATTCAAATGTGTACAAATTTCCTCTTTAGCGAATTGGCGTCTCGTTTTTAATAATAATAATAATAATCATAGTTCATCTAATTTAGTAACCAAAGAGTGATGCTATTTTTAAATAACAAATATACGTTTCCAAAATTATTATTATTAAAAATAACGTTTTAAACTGACTAAGGTAACTAAATTACAAAAAAAATAAAACGATAATTATAAAAATAGGATTGGATAGCAAGCACATGATAAAATGAATTCTAAAATAATATACAATTCAAAAAAAGTTATACATTTAGTTTAAGATAAGATCAATAGACTATTCTGTTGACTAGAAATTACCGACGTCTCACTTAAAAGAAAAAGCAGTTGAGCAAATTTTCTTTTTTTTTTTTACACAAATTGTTGAGAATTCTTTTTATAAAGTGTGAATGCTGCATGCGGTATGCCATAGATGATGATTGTTTTTTTTCTAATTAGATAATCAATTATTTGAAAGGTTTGTCATTTTCAATTACAATTTAATGCTGTTGATTTTTGTTTGGGACTTTAAATTCCCAGAACTCACTTGATTAAGGTCCTAAATTTGGATTTTGTGGTTTCGCACATGGACTGATCAGTTGATCTTTTGATTACATTTCTCACACGGAAAATCCTTGACTGTTATTGGTTAATGTATTATTTTAGTACGCTATGTTTTTTTTTCTCTGAAGGGCGTTTCTATAATGTATAAATAGACTCGATTTGTGTGCTTGAAAACTTCAATTTTCTGGGTGCTTGTAGAATACACTTTCTACGCCATAACAAGACTTCTACCTCCACTTAGTGGGACCATGAGACGCTTGGATTAGAGAAGCCTATCTTGTCACTGGGTCGTTTGTCTTCGTTCTCGTTTACTGACTAAGGTGAACTTGTAGTTGTCCAAGTATGTCAACTGGTGGCAAACGTAACAGTTTTACTAATGTAGTATGTGTCAAATGACTGATATATAGTGCTCAACAAAAGCGGGTAAATTAATCAGCTCATATCAACGTGATCAGAAGCAAATGTACTTGTTTGTTTAGTATATTAGAAAACCTGTCGCCCAAACGTCATGTATTTCAATTATATTACTATAATAGACATGCTTCCAAGCGAGTTCGAACTGTTTTCTCAGTTCTCTGTAACTGTGTATCACCTTTAAGATCGTTCGTCTCATAAATCTTTTATTTTTCGATGTAAAAACTATTGATATCATTACAGGTTCGAGTATTATTATTTACTTCATGAATTATATTTTTTTACTTACTTGATCGTGTTGGTGTTATGAATGAGACATATTCGCAATCGTCAAAAAAAAACAAAACAACAACAACAACAACAACAATAGTACATAATAACTAACTCAGTATGAATTCTTATCCAAATGTTCAATTGTTGCAAATTTTGATGCATAAATGTTTCTTTCAAAGTGTACTACCTAAATAAAGCTGATATTATTTTTTATATTGATTATAATATTAGAACAACACATATAAGCGAACAATATTATTTTCGATTAGATCGTCATCAGGCTGCTTTACTCTAATATACATGAATATTTATGTATGAAAATGTTAAACTAATTAAGGCAATTTGAGTCAGTAATCACAATGAAATGAAAAAGGCTGAAGTACAAGTGGACAGTAGGAAGATAGGTAAACCGATAGTAGTAAGAAAATTTATAAAATATGATAACTAAAGTAGGTCAAAGGTGGATGAATAGAAAAACATCAAAAACATTACGTAATAAGCAGATGTGTAAAAATAATAAAAATAATAAAATTAAATAAAAAATATATATAATGTCAATCGTTAGTTACGTCATATCCTAGAAGTAACCTTATCCTCGTCTGAATTTTCAGGAGTAGACCCTTCTACCAGGTGGCTCGCTTATTGACTTAGAATATGCCGATGACATTGTCCTACTTGTTGAAGATGCTGACAAAATGCAGCCTCTTCTGACTACCATAAGCAACAATGCAAGCATGTTCGGGATGCGGTTTTCCCCATCGAAATGCAAAATGTTGCTTCAAGACTGGGTTTCATCGGCACCTGAACTAGTGATACGGAGTGAAGTAGTCGAACGTGTAGACCGCTTCACTTATCTTGGGAGTCTCATCAGTGCTGATGGCCTGGTGACTGACGAAATCTCAGCTCGGATACAGAAGGCTCGATTGGCTTTTGCCAACCTGCGTCACTTATGGCGTAGGCGAGATATCCGTTTGCTGACTAAAGGACGAGTGTACTGCGCAGTAGTTCGCTCCGTCTTACTTTATGGCTGTGAAACATGGCCAGTGAGAGTAGAAGATATTCGTAGGTTATTGGTTTTCGATCATAGGTGTCTTCGAAGCATTGCTCGTATACCGTATGACAACCGAGTAAGCAATGCTGTCGTTAGGAAACGAGTACTAGGCAAGGATGGCAGATCAATCGATGAAGTGGTGAAACTTCATCAGTTGAGGTGGTTGGGACATGTGTTGCGTATGCCTAACCACCGACTGCCTCGACGAACTTTGTTTTGTAGTGTAGGAGTAGGTTGGAAGAAAGTTAGGGGCGGCCAAACCAAAACATGGCAGTAATCCATGAAGTCATTGACTAGTGGACTCAGCCATGTCGGTAATTGTCGACTACCTGTTTGGGGTCCGCGAGATGATAATAATCGACGGTTAGAGACCTTGAATGACATGGCTCAAAATCGTTAGCAATGGCGCCGGTGCATTTATTCTTTGTGTTCTCTCAAATGCTAATCTTCTGGATTCTTCAACACCACTAGTGTCGACTCTCTAAACTTTTCTCACTGAATCATATTTCTTGAATAATATCTTCTAACCCTAACCTCTCCGATTACTTCTAATTCCCTTACTACCTCTTCTACTATTGGATTTGAATTGACGATTACTTCTCTGTGCTGATGTGGTATGGCAACGTGAACTGATGTACTTACGTACGAAGTTCTACGTTGCATCTGACTAACTGACTGACGTCGTATCCGGCCACGGAAGAGAAAAAAGGGTGTCACGAATTTCTTCTGAACACATAAATTAGGATTGAATGTGCGTATTCCTATGGCTTCTGCAATGTGTAGGAGACGGGATCCAACTCTGTTGGGAAATGATGTAGGTATACGATAGATCACCCGAAAAGATCTAGATTTATCTACAATGTGACCACTATCTACCAGGTGTGCTAAGATAGAACTGCGTATTGTTTTTGACTGACCCTTTGTAAACCATGCTGAGAGATGTTCACTCATTCGTTGTGTAAGTTGCCTGGAAGTACGCCCGATATAGGTATCTCCACAGGAGCCGCTGAATTTGTAAATGCACATAGAGGAGGCCTTATATGTGTTGTTCTGATTTTCACAATGGGAATCTTTAATACTCTTAAATCATAATATTGTCAAATTATCTAATTACATTAATTCAACTGTATAATGTTTATGTAATCTGTCTAATTTAGAGTTTAGATACAATGGAACCACGTGATCATGCTGTTGCAACAGAATCATATGGAGCGTTAACTAGACGACGTTTAAAATGGCATCCAGAGAAAATTTTATGTAAACGTATCAATGTTCCTGATCCATATCCTGAGTAAGTGTTTTATCAATTTCTATTGATGGACACAAATGTATATATAGTCTAAACATTGAGAATCGCTATTGAAATGAAGTAATTATCTACAACATTTTGAGGTTGTGGTGATTGTCAAGTTACACATTTGAAATCATGAATCGATCAATGTTAGATCACCATTAGAAACCTGGAAGCACTGGATGGCCGTTTCGTCCTGGTATGGGACTCATCAGCAGTGCGCATCCACAACTCCTGCACCCCGCAGGACTCGAACCCAGGACCTTCGGTCTTGCACGCGAACGCCTAACCTTTGGACCACTGAACCGGTATCTAACGGTGTTAATGCTTAACTTTGATCAATTCACGGTCTTGCGCAACCTCATTCACTGTCTTTGGTAGTTACTGTCTACACCCGAACAGGTTGAACTTCATTGGTCTCGACTCCCCACTCGAACTCGGAGAAGGTTCCTCACGGAGCTAGTTGCTCAGCGAGCACAGGTAATTGCATTACGGGGTTGTGAAGATTGTTAAGTTATACATTTGAAATCATGAATCGACCAATGTTGGACCCACCATTAGAAACTTGGAAGCACTGGATGGCCCTTTCGTCCTGGTATGTGACTCATCAGCAGTGCCAATTCACGACTCCTGCAATAAAGAATAATACAAATTCGTTGATTCTGAATTCATTTTCAATCAAATATTTTTTAATCATATTTCTATATAGGCTCAGTTAATTTAAACGATTAATTAATGAGAAAGAAAAATCATTTGTAAAGTTGATTCGTTTGGATATTTGTATTACCTATTTCCATTGTATTTATTAAAAATGATTCACTTATTAATAAGAAATCATTTTAAAATTAAAACTATGCTAATAAACAACAGTTCAACTCTTTCAATTCGTAGAATAAAATTAAGCAGCTTTTGTCAGCTTTCTTGTGATAGGAACGCTGATTGTTTTCGTTTTACTTCGACTATAAAAACTGATAGAAATTTTATTTGGTATAAAATAAAGAACTCTAGTGACTTCTAATGAATTCAGGATGATGTTATTTTGTGAATTCTTTTCAACTACTTGAAATTTTATTTGGTTTGTTAGAAAAAAGGAGAGATAGACTGATAGTAATACTACGATGTAATTACTAAGAACTATTGTGAATAATTCCAATAACATGAATTCTTTTATATATATATATATAGGTCATTTGAGGATAGACCTAGATAGTCATGGAATAGTATACAGACGATATAATGAATGCGTATACATTCCTGATTTTATTCTTTTATTTCTGCTTTGTTCTCACTACTTAAATCAAGACAATAATTTAAATTTATTTCACTACCAATACTACTACTACTACTACTACCGTGATGGTCAGATGTTTATTTTAATAATTTTTTTGTAAGATAACATTTTCTGTCACTCAGAACAAGTAAACTTAATGGGATGAAGACAACTGTTTCTGTTTTGTTTGGAGAAGAAAACTTGTAAATTTTTTTTTTTAAAAAGATTTTCTTATGTGACCTTAAATAAAACTTTCCACTGATTATTGATACATATAGTCATTATTGTAATGTGTAAACTAAATGGAGAAGTTAAATGTGTTTCATTTTTTTTATTGTAAAATCTTGAAATTATCTTTTAGGTCAACTATTTATTACATTACATCATTAATGTAATTTAGTAGTTAACTTAATTTACTATGATTTATTTTTATTTAGTTGTTAGTTAACCTCACCACACATAGAGAGAAGCCAGTTGGCTTTTCGAGGTGAAAAAGAAGAGCTGTTATGTAAAGTATTATGCCAGATTTGTGAAAATATAAGAAAAGAGCGATTTTTTGGGTAGAGACATCGAAACGAACATACTATTTGAAGCAGACATAATTATTGTATATAGGCAGACTTTTTAAATATAGTCTACTTATTTATGTGAGTGCGACAAATGAATTCACCACGGTCTTCTGCGGACGAAGCAAACGGAGTTGGTGCAAGCCCAACCCATTATAGTTGTTCTTCGTTCCATGTTCGGAAGCTGGTAAGAATTAATGAGTACTCTCTGTATGGGACGTAGTCGCTTCTCCCAAGTATGCTTTATACTCACAAATAATACACATCTGTCAGAGACATGTGTATATCAGTGACATGCACCTACGTATAGATAGATGTGGTTGCTGGCATACGTCAAGTCTGCCCATTCTATGAGTGCATAGAAGTTTCCGTGTTTACTCCAGGCCCAGTGGTGTTAGTTTTACATGATAACTATCAAGTATCCAAATCACCTTAGCAAATAAATCGTCACTTAACGATATACTCTTTCAGACTAAATACTTCAAAGGTGTAGTGTCGACCCTTTCACACTGGTTACGATACAGTTTATGTTCACCGCTCTGGTTCTCCCCATCCAAACATAATGCTTTTGTCGCAGCAGAGCTCAGACAGTCACACAGGAAGAAATTTTTCTAATCCCACTGTCAAATTGAACGCGTCAGCTTAATTTTTATGCATGATTTATTGTTATGTTTAAATCGCTTGTCAAAATAAAAGCATGTTATTTTATGAGAGAGAGAGAGAGAGAGAAACAACAACAATTCAAGACAACTTTTTTTTCGGTTGGTCAATTGTTTTATTTTCATAAAAAAAAAAGAAAAGATCATATTCACTTCCACTAGTAGTTGTCTGCGTTGATCATTTAGTCACATGAAGAGTCGTAATTTCGACTAGATTGTATCATCATTGAATAGTTTCTGTTCATTCAGCATTAGAGATGTTCCTTTTTTTTGCAATAATTCAAAACTTATTCGATCGTAAAATTATATTTTATAATAGAACTCTATTTCATTGAATGTTGTTAATCTAACTGTATTGTTTTTCAGTTTCTTTTAACACAAATATTCAATGTTAGTTGAAACCTTTCTTTTATTTGAAAAATGGCTTGCTTTAATCAAAGCTAAACGGTTATGAGAAATACAAAATAAATTTTACTTTTTACTTTCTTTCATTCATAGTTCCACTTTTGTTGGTTGTCCAGATGAAAGACGTCCTAGTTATCGTTTTCGTCAAAAGTTTGGTAAACATGGAAAAAGTCGATTCTCCGACAATTCTACGACAAATGAATTTTCTATTTTTGATCTATTAGATGTAAATACTACTAGTTCAATGCAAAAATTAAATTCTTCAAATATTACTAGTACTGGACAACAATCAAGTGATGAATCTAGCTCTTCTGATAGTGACAACAATAATGATATTTCTAATACTATATCAGAACTTCAGGCTAATAGTGCACTTAATCGAACTGGCATGACTGGTACAACATTTCAGTCTCGTGGAAAAGCTTTATTTGCTACTTTATTCCAATCGATAGAGGACAGTAAAACCACTGAAACTACAGATAGTGTTCAAGGCAATAGTGGTAATAATGATAGTTTGTATGAAAAAGTTCAACCATCAGATAAAATTTCTTCTCATACGACTAATGAGACAGAGAATGAATCAGTAAGTTTTATTATGTATTCCAAAATTACCATTAATGGCTCATCATGTATTTGCAAATTATCTTTAATATCCGATATCTTCAATGTTAACACTAAACTTTTGTGTCACTTCTTACTATGAAGGCGTTAGGTCGGAATCGGTCGCAGTGGCATCGAGATATGTATTGATCGTTTTTATTTGTTTAAATTAGGAGTTATACTTTCATATTTTATGATTTAATTCTTTCTTTTTAAAATGGCACTTCTTACATGTCTATTTTCTTCATCACCTGAATTAGACATCAATAATGACTGTTAGATTAAAACCTAGTATTAGTTGAGTTCAAATTTCAGCTAAGTAATAAGCACGTTTTTTGTCTAGCTATTAAGATTAGATATGGATCTTGTATTTATGCTTTCACTTCGTTTGAATAAGACCTATAGTGATATAAATATCTCGGGTTTCGGAAGAAGAGCTCATTCATCTGTCACTCCCAGTTCTTCATTGATGTCTTTGAAGGGTTACTCATGCATGACGGAACAGTCGAGTGACTTGTTTTAAAAATGGAAGTCAGAAACTATGGGAAAATCGGAAATTTTTATTGACTTAGGTGGCTGTGACATATGTTGAGTATTACCATCCACCGACTTCCTCGATATGCTTAACGTAGGATTAGGTGGGGAAGAAGCTAGGGATATCCAAATCAAAATGTATCATCTGTTGATGTAAAGCTTCTTAGTGGGTTCAATGTACGTGAATTGATCGCGGTAGTGCTGATGGATTGACTCTTTCTCTTTCCCCTAAGTCTTGAGTAAAAATGTCTTTTCATACATATCTTCTTGTTCAACCATTTTCCCATTGTTTATCCTTGTTAAATCTATTTCACTTTGATGATGTGTGAGAAGTTGAGCTAATAATCCTTTGTAACAGATTCTATGTTGATTACAACAAACTGAAATTAATTGATAAGACAGATCTATTTAGTGAGTTATTAAACAGAATAATAACAAATCATGTACAGATCTGATGTGTTGATCTGTCATTCAATAATAGTAGTGCCTTGTTTTCATGAGATCAATGTTGTGTTGTATTGTGTTTTCATATCCTGATAATAAGAAATTAAAACTCGTTAATAAACTCTTTGAAATAGTCATTTATATTTCATATTTACCTTTTATTTCTCTAGACTACACGGATTATGGGTCCTGCACGTCCAAAAGCGGGAATAGATGTTCTTACTGATCAAACAGAACATCCCCCGATGGATTTGTTCAAATCAATATTTGCATCTGATGAAGAATTGAGTTCATCTTCATTATCAGACGATGATCATGCTGATGATGTTGATAACAATAATAATAATAATATTAATAACAACAGCAATAAAAATCTCATAAAAGATAATTTAACTGTACCAACAAGAGTCAGTGAATCCGAACCTCTTGAAATGTCCAATGGTAATTTTTCTAATTTTGATTATTTTAATACTATTCTTTTATTAGATCATCATCATGATTTATTCAAAGGACATGCATTATTTTCACATCTATTTGAACCGAATGGAGATATTCGTAAGTTTTTAATTGATTTTTTATGATTGAACTAATATACTCCTCCTATATTATTATTAGATGGACCATTGTCCGGTTTAACACGAATAACCAGTAAACAACCTGAAACAGTATCCACAGTTGTTCGTACATCGTCACAGAAGATTGTCAATCCAGATTTATTATCATATGGACCAGATTTACCACCGGATTTCAGTATGTTTCGAGTTTATTCTGTTAAGATTGTTTAAAATTTATTTGAATAATACTAGCCTATGA